AGTAAACAAAACCATATTTGTGGAAAGTAATTATTGTTCACATAAAATTTAGAGTAAAATATTCTAGTTAAAGGACTACTGGTTTTTAAAAATCACCTAGACTTCATGTATGTTACTGGACAGAGACGTCAGTTGCGTGCTGTTCATTTCGTTATACTTGTTTACGTTTTTCTATGCTCTTTATAGATATTCCGTTACTGAAAAACGTTTTCAGTTTTTATTCCTACGTTGTAATACGTCTACCCCGATCTGAAAAAACAAGATTTTAAATAAAAGTTTTACGATACCCGCGTAGGTACCCGGTATAAATTCCCGAAATTAAAGTGCACAAAATGCATCTAAAATTGCGTGCCGGGCGAAGTGCTTAAGAACAGCTGTATGTGCATAGGCTATATTGTCATGTTATGAAAACACAGTACAGACGTAGTTGCACTTAAACATTTCCCCGGGGGGTTGTTCTGGAATCGACCGTATGCTTTAATAACTTCTGGAGTTCGAACATAGCTCACTTTAAGTTAACCCATTCTTCCGTTTTTGTAAATCGCGAAGCTGAAAAACCTGGAAAACAATTGTGCAAACCACAAGTTTGAAAACTCATAGGGCTGTAGAATTCGGTGTTTTTAAAGCGGCTATAAGTGGATATAACTAAATACTTTCGCTTATGGCGACTTCAGTACATGAAATTTACATATGCATTTCCCCCCAAAATCTGTAACAGGGGCATTTGTATCCGGGCTTTTTTCTCTCAGTGCCCATCCCCCCTGACGGTGAAGGAATCGATCAATTTGTTGCCGGTCCCATTACCTTTTGTCACTTTTGCTGCTCCCAACTCTTTGTTCTTGTTTGCGTTGCAGCCGAAGGAATTAACCCGCGGATCAATAAATCAATGTTTCACCCATTTGCGTCATAAAAAATCGCTTAAAAATCTACCCCGATTTCCCTATCCATTGTAGCATTTACTGAACAGTTTAGTATAACAATTAATTCTTAATATCTTCTTTTGGGAGAATAGTGTGACTGTCAGGCTGTTCTCTTCCGGCAGATAATAGATAAAACGTTTGGTCTGGCCGTGGAAAAGAGGATTCATTAAAGCTTTTCGAAACGTGTCCGAGGAATACAGGATTTAGATTCCACGGGCATTTAAAGTTCAGTTTCTAAAAACACATTTTTGAACCAAAACACGTGTGCACACGCAGAGAACTAAAACCTACTCATCTACACATCAATCCAATTGAAGTCCTGTTGCAAAATGGTAACAGTCATAATATTCTCCTTGCGAAGGCGGAAGTTCCTGGCTGAGTCACAGCTGGTCAATTATTTTATTTGAAATCATGTCTAGTTTCTTGGATATGATTTGATTATTAGAAGCTGATGTCAGCTGTTGTGTACGCCACAGTACCATGATTGTTAAGCATGGGAGTTGAATATGTTTAGAAAAGAACATTTTAAAACCGGCATATGTGCGGAGATCAACATTTCTTCCGATGGATAAATGAACCGAAGTTGTTTTTTAGCCTGAAATGGGAGTTGATTTTATGGGTGTATTATATTGTACACTCGGGAGAGAAATGTGAAGATTTATTTTTCTTATTCCTTAAGTCAAATGTTTTCCCTTCTTAACGGTACCTTTTAAACCTCAAAATAACTTCTAGTGCTGCAATATTTTGCCTGAAATATGATGAACTTACTGCTGACCCCTGAAATTCCCATGGATTCTTGTCCCTCCCGCGGAAAAGTGTGATATTTCAGCATTTATGTACATTATTTCTTGGGACAGCTGTTCTATTACTGATAATTTGAAAGCACAGGTTACTCACACAGATTTGAGTGTTAAACAGCCAAGTGCACCCTGCTCTTTCAAAGAAGTAAATATTTAAATAACCTCCAAGATTAAAATGTGCTTAGGCACATATATTAGTTTAGTTATTCTATTACCCTTGCTTTGCCACACCTATTGTTAACTAGCCAAGATTAGCATTTTAACAACCTCAGAGTGAACTTCTCCCTTTCTCACAAACCTAAACGCTGTGTACGAATCATCAATCATTCTGTCTCTGACCACAAACAGGCTGCTGGCTCCATGGGTATTTGAAGCCAAGCAGAGATCATCAGACTGTTAACAACACAGCTGGCTACAGCCATTTTTTTCTTCCACACCACTGGCTGCATTGTGAGGCAGTAGTAACTAAAGTTAACATCTAGAACATGAGGTTCCTATTGTGTGGCTGGCCTCTCTCGTCTCAGATCCCATTCGCTGAACACACCTGCAGCTCAGTTTTGCGAGTCCTAAAAGGTTGCTTGGTTGAAGAGACTCCAATTTCAGAGTTCACACAAGGAGTGGGGGGGGTGCTGCATCCTGTGCCAGTACGATTAGCCCAGCAAGTCCCAACCTTTCAAACTAATCATTGCATGAACACTAAAAGATTAGACCTGTTGTTTAAATTGTAAAGAAGCAAACGAAAATAAAGGCACGTAGAAGTTCACCTACAAAGAAGTGTTGCTCTCTATAAGATGGCATATTCTGTATGATGGCTTTCCTTTGCCTATGTATGAAAGGAGCAATTTTCATGTAGTGCTGCACAAAATCAAAAACCAATTTACCAGTTATCTGGTTTCATGTCTTCTCGTTACTGTGCACAGCATGGTACAGAATGATGACTAAAGTGACGCTATAAAGCACAACAATTGTGCAGTCATGTGGAGCCATGACTTTGGGTGAGATGTACAGTGACATGCCTGCCTTGTGCATAGTCACCCTTTGTCAATGCTAGGCAAGCATCACATCTGAATTGGAGATGCTAGAATCTCTAGGAAGGCTGCTTGGTGCACATCAGATATAAATGTCTTTTGTACTCGGATCCTGTAAAAAATCTTTGGCCGATGTTCGTTTTTTTACAACACTAATGACTCTGGACAATTCTGGAATGAAGCCAGGGCAGTTGGTTAAGGAGATGAGGTGCGTGACTGAAGAATAAAAGAAAAAACGGAGATACAGCAGTTCCCGGCTGGGCGTGGAGAAAGGTTAGACTCTTAGCATGTTGCGTGACTACTGCGATGCTCACATCTCTGAATGAGCCTGCTCGCTGGGGGACAAAAACAAGAAACTGCATACAGCCATTCAATAAAGAAGTTCTTTGCTATGGTCTGAATAGTAATTTTAGTTTTTTGACCTTTGAACATATTGTATTTCTTTTTAAGTGTCTCTCACAAACCCTTATTTATTCTATATTGCAAAAAACTAGGAGTAATTACATTGTCCCCAATATTCCCCTTTCATGTTTTATGAGTAGTGAACAGAAATTGTTATTGGACCCTGGAGGAAAAATTATCTGTCCCTCTTGAGTTCCTATCATACATTTGTCAACTTGCAAAGCCCTCAAAGAGCTGTTCCTTTAAATGAGCTATTTGTAGAATGGATGGAAGATTATTGGAGAATGTGGTCTAAGGACGATTTCCAAACCCTTACTGATTATAATGACCACTTTTCTGGAGTAGCAGTCCCTTATGAAAGTTTTCACTTCGGACCTAAGTAAAATGTAAGAGGTGCCACAAATGGACAGAATTTTTAATACCTTCTGTTAAATTCAAATTAAAATAAAATTTTGGAGCTATCAAAACCGAGAGGTAAAAATAACAAGAACCCAATTTATCAAAAGTTGTGCGGAATGAATTACTCCCAGTCTGCCACCAAGCGTTTGCATCACTCAGAAGTTATAACAGCTTGTTTTATATAGTACTTAATCAGCCATGTCCAGTGTGGAGTGGAGGCCTGTAATTACAGACATGATAGCAATGCTAATTTGGTACCAAACGAGACCAGAAGCCAAGCTAGATCAAATGTGGAATATGCACTGCAGTCTTTTCAGCACGCTCACATTAAGCAAATTGTGCTTCAGCACTGATAAAAAGCTATTAATGTTGACTTAAACAGATTGTGGAGGTGAATTTGTTCTATTTCCACTGCTCTAAACTATCAGTATTCTTAGCGGATATAAAGTTGATGCTATCAAAAGCTTGGAGCAGGTGTGCAGCAGGGCAAATTGAAAAATTGTCAATATTGACGTCTGGCTGTGCTGGGAAGAGGTACAAGTCGGCGATTTACAGAGACTGTTACTGTGCTTTACTTTTGGTATTCTGCATGAGTCTCATTAATCCGTGTCCCTGGCCGTTTGTTGTCTCAGAGTAAACTGTTTATATCCATTCAGGCACTGTCGACATCAATAATTTGTTTGGCTCATAAATATTTGACTCTAAAAACGTTCATTAATATCTGTGCAGTTTGTATTGTAACGCTATTACTTCAGGGCCCAATCCAGATAACTCATGGAAGAAGTGCTACCTGTCGTATTTACTGACCCACAAGAACTAGGAGCAATGTTCTAGGGGCACAGATGTGAGATAATGGCACCAAGTCACTGCTTGGGGTTTTAAAATGTTTGCAGCTCAATAAATAAATAAGAATGGGAACTTGGTTTACACTCAACTGCCCCAAACTAAAAGGGGCACACAAGTTAGCGTGCATATAAAAACAACTCCCATCTCCATTATGTTCACAGTGTCCAAAGTGCTCGTCTCTGGAGCTTGCAAGCTTTCCAGGTCTCAGCCCCATTTGACCGTTTTCTTAAACTGTCACAAAAGGCAGTTCTCAATTGCTGATGCAGAGATCACAACAAAAAAATAGCATATGCCAACACTGCAAATACGAATGGCCATTAGGGTTCTCAAAAAATCCCCAAACTGTCTGTGTGCTGCATAGAAAGTTTAGGATTGACAGAATATAGCAGCAGAGGAGTGCCTGAGTGCAATTAGTTACACAAAGGGCTGCAGGAGTATGGAACGCGCTACCCAGGCATGTTGTTGAAGCTGATACCTGGTTTCTTTCATGAAACGGGTGGATGAGATCCTGGGATCAGTTAACTACTAGCTAGCAAATGGGTCAGTCGGGTTACAAAAGCGAAGGAAGCTCATGTTCTTATCCCTAGTGTTTTTGTTTCTTGCAGGTAACATCTGATTTCTTCTGAAGCAGAAAGTATTTCCTTTCTGTGCGAACCATGGGCCAGAGAATACAGTTCTTTCTTGGTTTGGTGCTTCTCGCGACCTCACGGCTTCTAGCACTTAGCTTTCCTGAAGACGCTGAGCCTCTCGACACCGTAGACTATCAATGTAAGTTGTGTGTGCAGAAGTCATCGTAAAAACATTTTTGCCAATTGTAGTTTCAAGTTGGCTCATGCTTCAGGAATACTTTATATCCCAACCCTCAGACTGCTAGAGGGGCTGTTATTATTATTTATATTGCTGTTGTTAAGTTTGTCATGCCAGCAGATTACCGAACAGGAACTGTGTAGGTGAAATTTACCACCCCACAGCTATGCTTCCTCAAGGTGTGGTGATATATGATCACACTCGATATTAAAAAATAAACTGCAGAATACGGAACTATACATCTCCTTATCAGACTGAAGATCAGGGGGCCTTAAAATGTAAAGTTCTTCAGTTACGGTGAGAAAAACACAAAAATCTGCTGACACAGTTTATGTAAGCATTCAGAATGCGTCAATGTTACATTCTTTAATATTCATTACATTACGGAGGGATTTAGTTTAAACCATTATACATGGCATCTATACAGTTAATCAATACTCCCTATTGATTGTGGTGCTCCATAATCCCAAATAATGCTGTTTCTCATTTCGGCTTGCAGACTCCAAGCAATATGCTGCATTTAGAGGGCGCCCTTCAGGCAATGAATCTCAACACAGACTGGACTTCCAGCTGATGATAAAAATCCAGGACACGCTTTTCATAGCTGGCAGGTAAATCTTTAAAAGACTCTTAATTGTATTGGAGTGATGAAACATCTGTGCGATAATATATACAGAAAGTATTGATTTGATGGAAGACTTAAGCAATACTGCAGATTGCAAAGCCATGACTTTCTGTGTTGGTATTAAAATGGTGTCCTTTCTATTGCAAGCCCTAATTATTCTCCACTTTTAATTTTCTCTCTTTGTGTAGAGACCAGGTCTACTCAGTAAGTTTAAGAGAAACTTACAGGAATGAAATCATCCCGTACAGAGTAAGTTCCCTTGGTACAGTAACAGTCCAATTGTGGTTTGCAATGTTCTCATCTTACAAACAAGCAGCTGTGATTTAAAACAAAAAGACAATGTTATGGGTGAAATGCCACCAGGAATCTAATGTTGTTGTAACAAAGACATGAGAATGAAAGTGAACAGTTTGCAAACATTTTTCCTTCTCGTTTACAGAAACTAACCTGGAGATCAGGCCAAGCTGACCGGGAGACCTGCGCTATGAAAGGGAAACATAGAGTAAGCTTAGCCTTGAAATCGCTGCTGTTTTTTCATTCATAAAAAGTAAACCAAACTGTTTTCCTGAAATAATACGTTGTCATGTATCTTTCTCTCTTTTTGAAGGATGAATGCCATAATTTTATTAAAGTGCTAGTTCCCAGAAATGAGGATCTGGTATTCATCTGTGGCACGAATGGCTTCAATCCAATGTGTAGATACTACAGAGTAAGTAAATGTCACAACACCGTTTTCCTTTCTGCTAGGTAATCAATGTCCAGTGGTGTGTGTGTGTTAATAGGAAAGAACAGTCTTGGTTGTTTTGGTGCATTCTTTTCTTACGGAACTGACTTAAACAGCTTGCTTGTTTCCCAACTTTTACGCAACTACAGTGTGAAATGTCTCTTTAAGTTATGGTGATGCACGAAAGTCATGTTTTTGAGCCTGTATCAGCCTGTGCACATTTACCTCAGAAGCCAATCAACCAAAGTCCATATCTGTGTTTTTTTTATCCAGCTGGATACCCTGGAATTTGACGGTGAAGAAATCAGTGGCTTGGCGAGGTGCCCGTTTGATGCCAAGCAGACCAATGTTGCCCTCTTCGCCGGTATGAAAACTTCCAAATAAGAAGTCAGAATGATTAATGGCTCTTTCAGTGCTGTGGGAATTTAAGATGGAAAATATGAAGGCTCAGTGAGTGCCAAGCCTGATCAGAAACATTATTAATCATCATTTTCATTAAAATGAGCTGCACAATGGTGCCCATAGCAACCAGGCTTTGTGAGTGTCAGAGTTAATAAATACACAAGCGGTTTTTAATATTATCTACTTATTGCCAGCATCACAGGTCATTGTCCAAAATAAATATCGCGGTTCTACAGAACCAGTGCCTGACCTTTCCTGTGTAATGTCATTTCAGATGGCAAACTGTATTCAGCGACAGTGGCCGACTTCTTGGCTAGCGATGCCGTCATTTACCGCAGCATGGGGGACGGCTCAGCCCTGCGGACAATCAAGTATGATTCCAAGTGGCTGAAAGGTAATGGCCATTTTTCAAAATCTGGTACAATTTGATCCATTTTACCTTTGCAGATGTGACTCTCCTTAGTTGCTGTGTGGCATGTAACTTTTCTTTACAGCGAAGTTACACTGAAGTGCTCTTTTATTGCTGCAGTGTGCATACAGAGGTTTGGAGAACAGAACCATTTATGTTCTCTTATCTTAAGCTGTGAAAGTTCCCCCTACTTTTCTCCTCATGCTTCACCGGGCACTCATGGAGATTTTTATGCCTCCAGGATGCAGGAAATTGCTTTAGTTGATGTGTAACCTTATACTGAGAGTTACTGCTGCCGGGGTGATAAACACACAGGTAGATAATGTATTCCTACAGTTTGCATTTAACTTAATTTAATAAAACATCCTGTGTTTCAGAACCTCACTTCCTGCATGCTGTGGATTATGGGAACTACGTTTACTTCTTCTTTAGGGAAATAGCGGTGGAACACAACAATTTGGGAAAGGTACGTTTCAAATGCTTACATGAAGGTTTTGTTTTTAAATTACAACCTGACTGGAAATATTAAAAACCCACTTATGAGCAATTCATTTCAAGACTTTAAAGAATTGTCTTAGTGGGTGAATAAGACAGCCCCCTAAAGGTATAAGGATGCAGTCTAGTCTCATCACTAATGTTGAAGTTTACCAATACTTTGGGCTGGGAATCTCCCAACAGGTTTTTAAGCACTTTCCCTAAAGCTGCAAGTTGATAAATATTTCAGTCGCACTAATGCAGAGCATGATACCTGTACTGTGATGTAGATTTGCAGTGGTAAATTATTAAGCTTGTTACTCATGGTTAATTAAAGGCCTTAAATCCCAGTATCTGTTCCTTTCTGTTCCTTTTTTGTATTAAATGGGGGTATGCAGTGGGGGTTGGGAGAGCTGTCGGCACGGAGGTAGATTAAAACATTAAAACATTGATTAATCTAGATTAATCATTAATCAACATCAACTTTCAGGTGAAAGGCTTTAGATGTGCATGCTTTCAGATCCTGGCCGAAGGAACAGCTTGTATGGGCTGCGCAGGAATGGGTTCGCAATGCATTATTTAAACAGTAGAAGTGCTTTCATAAAACTGAATCTCTCCCATTTTGTTTCTCTCTCTCTCGGTCTCTCAGGCTGTGTACTCCCGAGTGGCACGCATATGTAAAAATGATGTCGGCGGGTCCCAGAGAGTGCTAGAAAAACACTGGACCTCGTTTGTTAAGGCGCGCCTCAATTGCTCTGTTCCTGGGGAGTCATTTTTCTATTTTGACGTTTTGCAGTCCATTACAGACATAATAGAAATCAATGGGATCCCCACCGTTATTGGAGTATTTACCACACAGCTTAATAGGTGAGTATCGAGTCACCGATCTCTGGAAGCAGCAACACTCCTGACTCCCAGAGTTTCTCATTTTTCATTTCTGGTTTTGACAGCATCCCGGGGTCTGCAGTTTGTGCCTTTTCAATGGCCGATATCGAAAAAGTGTTCAGGGGCCGGTTCAAAGAGCAAAAAACTCCTGACTCCGTTTGGACGGCTTTTCCCGAAGACAAACTGCCCAAACCCAGGTAGATCCCGATCTGAGGTGATGTGGTCTCCCGAAAGGTGGTGGCGGCGGCATAAATAATTCATAAACGATAATTAGAAACGTCACATGTTTGAGCGAGTATCTCCTCACGAACACCATATGCACGTCGGTGTATGTTTACAAGTGCGTGGCATGTTTTTACCATCTCTGTTATCACATTTAATAAGCGGCTGACCTTTGCTGGCCCCTCTGAGTGTTCCCTTTCTCGTTTCGGGTAATAAAACGCTGCTGTGTTTCTTTCAGGCCTGGCTGCTGTGCAGGACAAGGTCTGGCAGAGGCGTACAAAACCTCCATTGATTTCCCTGATGAAACCTTATCTTTCATCAAATCCCATCCTTTGATGGATTCTGCCGTCCCCTCTGTCGGTGAGGAGCCGTGGTTCACAAAAACCCGTGTCAGGTGGGACTTTTTTTCTTGCGGAAGTCATCTGATCTCTCTCCAGTTGCTAAAAATGCAGTTTTGATCCAGAAACTGAGCAGTGTGCTCCCTTTTTTTCCATTTTGCAGGTACAGGTTGACGGCTGTAGCGGTCGATAATTCTGCAGGCCCTCGTCAGAACTACACCATTGTTTTCATTGGATCCGAAGCTGGTGTGGTGCTCAAAGTTCTGGCCAAGACCGCACCCTTCTCCCTGAATGACAGCGTCTTGCTGGAAGAGATTGACGTCTTCAACCGGGCAAAGTACAAAGTTATTTTCACTGTACCTTGATTTGTGTTACAGATAAACATTTTTGCAGGAAGCTGAAAGAAGCATTTTCTGCCATACGAGGTCTTGATTCTTGCAGTTCTTGGCAAGCATCGTCCAGTTACGGCATATTCAGTGGACTTTAACTTTACCCTATTTTTAACTTTAAATTCAATTTTTGAACAACCAAAGGACCAGGAACACTATAGTTGTGGTTTAAGAAAACCCTGCTCTGAATTGTAAGGTTCACCGAAGCCAGGGTTGCTAACTAGGTGTTTAGAACAAAGAATTAAATATCCCAAGACCTCCAATGTAGTCGGGATTTCTTTTCTCACCTATTTGGTGAAAAAAAGAACTAGCGTGGTCTTATTTTCTTCTCCGTTCCTTATTCTAGGTGTATATCAAACACCGAAGAAGACCGAAAAGTCGTAATGCTGCATCTGGACAAAGAAAACCACGGTTTGTTCGTAGCCTTCTCAAGCTGCGTAATCCGCATCCCTCTAAGCCGGTGTGAGCGTCACAGCACGTGTCAGAAGTAAGTGAGCACAACTGGCTGCCAAGATGCTACTGAACTTTCCTGTAAGCGATCTTTCACACCACGGTCAAGGCTAGCATCTTCTACTTTCGTTTTTGCATTCGGTCGTAAAGTTCCACATGATTGCAGCAGGTTAACAGGCCAGGGCATAAACATGTTTTGTGGGATTCAAAGTGTGACTGCGCTCTCAGGAAGAGTTGTCTCATTCTCTTGTTGTGTAATACAGGGCCTGCATTGCCTCCCGTGACCCTTACTGTGGTTGGATGGCCCATGGATCATGTGAAAACCTGCAGCCAGGCATATCGTACGTATCTCTTTCTGTAACTTTCCTTGGACTGAATTTTAAAAAGTTGCGTGGAAGAAAAATGCCTCTGGAATTTAGCACAGTTTTTGGTAGGATACTCCAATAAATGTGTATTGCCAAAAAGCAGACAAGTGTGTCTCTGAGTGATGGCAGTTGTTCATTATCCCAGTTAAGTGTCTCTTTTCTTTCTCTCTCCAATGAACAGCTCTGGGTATGAGCAAGATGTGGAATATGGCAACACAGTGCGGCTGGGAGACTGTCATGGTGAGGCTTTCACAGCTCTGTCATGTCCAATGACCCCAGTAGCTTGCAGTATCACACAAATAACCTTTTGTCACATTCTTCTGTGGATTCTTGATACACGTATCTACAGTCACATTCTACTAATTTTGCACTCATGGTACATATACATACCACGCAGTGCTGGCACAGCAGATTCACAAAGCTGAACTGTTCGATCTGAACAAACACCAGTTGCCAAATAACGTTTGTTTCTTGTACATGAAACTGGGCTTCAGAAGTAATATGCAGCAAAGAAAATTCCCTTTTTATGATTTGAATAAAACCTTTTATAATTTGCAGGCACATTTGCTTTATTTTGGTTATTTTACACTGATTTCTTGTTCCTTTAATTCCTTTAGAAGTTTTGGCTACTACATCTACGCCAGATTACAAAACATTTGGCGATCCAACATCTGGTTAGTTTTTACTTTTTAAATTTTTTATCTTTTTTTCTTTCTTTAAGTTCAGCATATCTCAACCCTCTCTGCTCCTCTGAAGCTGCTGGCAATCCATCTTACCATCTTTCCTTCATTTCTTGCCTTTACAACAATAGTGACAGATGAGCTTTTTCGTGCTTAGCGCACCATCGCTCTCCAACAGCATATTAGACCTATTCATCGCTGGCCGATCACATTTCCTCCTGTAGATTTTCATTTAACATCTCCTGCATGAAAATCCATCAGGCTTTGTCTCTTCTAAAGCTTATACAGGTGTCATTCTTCAATATGCAGAAATAATCCTACCTTTCCCATTTAAATATGCATTTCATGTCAGACTAGCTGGAATATAAAGATTTAATAATAATTCTGTGCTTCTTCGAGTCTCAGATATTTTATTGTAAAATGAACAGGTTAGTTATCAGAGCACTCTGTAAATTTGGAAGGATATAGAAACTAAATTAACCATGTTTTTACAAGATTAATTATTTTTAACGTGAGTAAATGATTTAAAATGAGCTAATGTCAGTGTACAAAACCTACCATTCTACATTTTTGTTATCTGGGAATAAGTAAAAGAAAAGAGCTGTATAAACTAACTGATATCATCGACCACGTCTAATAACCTGGTAGGCAAAGGTACGTTTTCATTCATACCCTGTGTGCACCAAATGTTAACAATCTGTTTGTCACCACAGACATGGAGTTGTCATCACCTCCAGTAACAACAATGGCATCTGGCCCCATAGAATCACCCCAAATCATTGATTCTCAGAAACCTGAACTGTTTGGTTCAAGGAAATTTGTGCTCCAAGATGACCCAGCCACTTCCCGTTCTTTTGATTCATTGCCAGGTGTCCCGAAGGGTAAGGCCTTTTACAGGGAGTTCTTTAGTGCTGAATGGAAACCTGAATAATCGCTGCCATTAGAAAGTCTCTGTAAGTCAGCCAGGGTCTAGGACAGCACCTGGTCTTCGGATGACTGCAGTGCAAACTGGGAGCAGCTGTGATAGTAGCAGCCCATGGTCCACTAACAAGACATGAGTTCACTCATAAAAAAAGACTTTTGAACTGCAGTATTACTTCCGTGAGAGGAAGCACCTTAAATCACAGGTTTCAAGTGGGATTATTAGCTTAATTACAAGCAGCTATTCAGGCTTTCCATCAGTTGAGATGGCAGTGATTTTATATTTACTTATGATTTTATGTTCAATACTTTTGTATCTTTTTTAAAATTTTTTTGCCATGATTATTCTTCAGTTTGAACTGTGTTTCTTTGTAAAATGTTTTCCTTCATACCTCTATTTTTCACATTGTTTTCTTCTCACTGCCATTAGAAGCCTTTAACCTTGAGATTTATCCCCAATAATGTTTAAAAGGCCTTGCCACTAACTCTTATTTCCAGTCCCTCCTGTTAGATCCAATACAGCATTGCATGAGAGTTTTATGACTAACTTTACAAATGTCTGTGGTTACTAACAAATTTTAACAACGTTTAAAACTACTGAGGGCCTGTAGCAATATGTGCTTATGCAGATGCATTAACTCTTACAACTTTACAACTGTTTATTCCTTATAGATGGTTAACATTTTTATAAACCCTCTGTTTTATACATTACTGCTACTCCTAAATATTTTTATTAACATGAGAAGTACTAATCTCTATTGTCTCTTAAACTGCATGCCCTTTGTAAAAAAAATACTTTTTCTCTAGGTTCTTCACAAAAGTGCTCAGAATTAAACTGTTTAAAAATGTTCTAGGCTTGTGCAGGTTATTAATAAAATTCTATGAAAGCAACTACTTGCCTGAAAGATTAGGATAGATACAAGCTCATTTTGCATTTGATATGTTGTTTCCATTATCTTTTCACCTGCCTGAGTAGACTTGAAAATTATTTTGAAAATTTCAATGAATTCTAAAAGAACAATTATAATAACCCTGATGGAACTCCAGACCCTGTAACAGTAGGCTTCCCCAGTGATGCACTGTGTGCTTTGGCTATTCATGTTGTCTGCAAATAATAACAGACAATATATTTATGTAAATGCTGCAACATTGATGCATATCTGCCATCTTATTCTGAAATCTAATCATGTTGGAAGCCAATAGTGTCAAGAAACTGCTGATGTATATTTAAAAATGAATGAAAAAAATGTAATGATATGAAAACTTAAGAATAGAGAAGAACCTTTTAGATTTGTCATTAAAGCTCTGCAGTTACTTTACTGCTTTATTTAAACGCTAATAATTTGACTTTGCAACAATTAAACGTGTAGTTTTGACTTTCAGTTGTGCACTTTATTTCAGGTGTCTGGGATGTGCAGTCTGGGGAGTCGAACCAGATGGTCCACATGAACGTCCTGATCACTTGTGTTTTCGCTGCATTTCTGCTGGGTGCTTTCATTGCCGCCGTTGTGGTCTACTGCTACCGAGATGCGTTCTTACGGAAATCAAGGAAAATACACAAGGACGCCGAGTCCGCACAGTCGTGCACAGACTCCAGTGGGAGCTTTGCTAAACTCAACGGCTTATTCGACAGTCCAGTGAAGGAATACCAGCAAAACATTGATTCGCCTAAGCTGTACACAAACCTGTTGAGCAATGGGAAGGACAGTGCACCTAGTGGAGACACAAAGACGATGATCTTGAGCAGCCAGTGTCAGCCCCCAGAACTGGCCGCTCTTCCCACTCCAGAATCTACCCCTGTTCTCCAGCAGAAGACCCTTCAGCCTATCAAGAACCAGTGGGAGAAAGCCCACAATAAAATAAATGCTTCAAGGAAGGACTCTCCCCTCAAAAGCCCCCAATACTTTCCTGCCAGTCCCCCTCCTCATTCTCCTATGGGGCACTCTCACATACCGAGTGCCGTCGTTCTTCCAAACGCAACCCACGACTACCGGGCTTCCTTTTCCAATACAGATGTCCTCCGGTCGGAGAGGAAAATGCAAAATATTGATCAGCCTGCTTCTGGTAAACCCAGCAAAAAAGACCACAGGCGGTCGGTTGATGCAAGGAATACCCTGAATGATCTCTTGAAGCATCTAAATGAAACCAACAGCGGCTCTAAAGCCATTCTTGGCGACATTCCCATGACTCGCCAAAACCTGATGCTGGACCCTATGGCGAACATGACCGAGGTTCCTCCCAAAGTCCCGAGCAGAGAGGCTTCGCTGTACTCTCCGTCTTCGACCCTGCCGAGGAATAGTCCCACTAAAAGGGTGGATGTGCCCACTACTCCGGTGACGTCCGCTGTGCAGATGAGCACTTTAGAAAGACAGAGGGGCTACCACCGGAATTCCTCTCAGAGGCATTCCATATCAGCCCTTCCTAAAAACATAAACTCGCCAAATGGCATTGTCTTATCTAGGCAACCCAGTATGAACAGAGGAGGATATGTTCCTCCCACTCCCCCTTCCAGGATGGACTCACATGGAGCACCTGTTGGTCATCCACAGCCTTCCATATCAAGGCAGAGTAGCTACAGTGGACAGGGCTCTCTCCCACGCACAGGGATCAAGCGGACACCCTCTATAAAACCAGATGTCCCCCCAAAACCCAATGGATTTGTCCCTCAGACTACACAAGTGAGGGCTGTGAACAAATACAGCTACTGAACATGTAGGTGTTGACTCTGTAAAAGGACTACAGTGTTTTAAGACCTGCTGAGGTTTTTCTGATGCTGCTGGAAGTCCAGACTGACTGTACTTGAAAAGGGGGGGTAAAACAAATTGCAAAAGTGGCCAAAGAAGCTACTTCCGGCAGCATCCTCCCGTTTTCTTTTGTTCTTCTGCTAATGAAACCCGGATGGTCTGTTGCGAGATTTCTTTCCGCGCTCGAGGACGAGCAGCGGGTCGCGACATCCGTTGCGTTCGTGAGCCTGGAGCCAGAGAGAATGAACAAACTGCGCAGAGGAGCGCAATTGTTCATTTCATGCAGTTGTGCCGATGTGGCATTCATGATTTAACACACAAGAATACTTGAAGAATGGGTTCCATTATTCACTGCCACTGAGCATTGTCTTCCCATTAAATGTGAACTTTACAAAAAACAAGGAAAAAAGTATGCATTTGTCTAGCCATTTGCACAAAATATCACAAATTTAGCATCTGTGATATTTTGAATTGAAAGCATATGGCCTTGACGCTAAAGAGAAATGCATTTATGGACGATTGTAGCAGAGACATTTCCTACAAAGCCGAATGTTTTGACACAGACTAATGCAAATCCTGTGTGTAATGGTCTCACACATTAGGATGCACTTTTAATTAAAACACGAACAACACATTAGTTCCTAAAACTAAACAGGATATTATGCTCAGAGATCCATTAATGTCAGAATTGTTGAAGACATTAATCTTGGGTCATCTGTGTATGGGGTAACAGTCCAGGGTGCCTACTTGGACAGCAGTTTTAACTCGCTGAGAAATTACTAAACGTACTTGCTGCTATCTGTTAAAACTTAGACATCTGTGTGTTTTGGACTCGAAAGCATTGTCATGTAGCTGTGGTTCTCTGTTACATAAGCATTTTGGTTCTCTAAGACTGCCAAGCCACTGTGAATCGAAGCTCCAGTTTTAAACTTAGAGGTTATGCATAGCATTACATGCGGTCTCTGTGTGGGCTATATGGCACAGAGGCTAATTCTGACAGTTAGCCCATTCATGTGGGGCACTTGAGTTAACTATTTGGCTAGCATCTGAAATCAACTGATAATGTCACGGTCGTCATCACAGGTGACAGCTCATCCCAGGGCTGCCACAGGACAGGGCGTAGTTGGGAAATGGTGTACACTCAACCTGAGGGCTAAGCGATAGAGAAGGTGTGTTCAGTTCATCGGTGGGGAGTCTTGTCAGCAAAGTGCATGGCTGTTACTATAGCTTTGTTCCTTAACACTCGTGAGATCTAAAAACAATGTCCTCATACCGATTTAAAGTCAACTTCGTATTATCACTGCATTCTTTTTATGGATACAAATGAATTCCAAGACCTACAAATCAGCTATCCCATTAAAAAAGATAATAGGGCAATCATTTTAGAACAGTACCAAGGAATCCCTAAGGGTCATGCAGGTAATAATGTTGTGTAAATATTTTTTTTCTTTTTGGCAAGTTTACCTGAATCTGTGCATTGTGTGCCTTATTCAATGAACATTATAAATACTGAAAATGTCAAGTGTTCTTGAGCCTTCATTGAACTTTTCTGTGTGCCAGTTGAACGTCTTATCTAAAAAAATAAGTTTTTTAAAAATTGGTTGAAGGAAACAAAAATACCAAAATTGCATTTTTACGAAAATATCATCAGAAAGTTGTAAAAACATTCCATTTTTAGGAGAAGGGATAGTAAAATACTTGACGTGAAATATTATTTCACAAAGTACACTGGCTTTTCCCCATTTCATAGAAAGTCACCAAGGTTAATTCTGTTTTTGTAAGAAAAGAGCTGCCTTGCTAAGCTGAAGGACTCTTCAGTGAATGTAAAACACTAATTAATAGAGTAGTACAATAATCTGTCTCCATCTTCGTATGTAGAACATCAAAATGCTACCACTTGCACTTTGTACAGTAGCATTAAAAAAACATCAGTCGTGGATCCATAAACCCACACAATAAAGAACTACCTTATTTAAAATACTGTCAAATTGTAGCAGAAAGTTATGGAAGTATGATAAAGCAAGGTGAGTTAATCTGAGCATACAATTACTGTTAATCATTAGCAAATGTTTTATAGCCCTCTGCTGGAATTGCCTACTTTAGTTCCTGTTCAGGATTGTCCTTTGCTGTAATTAAACTCTTACACATTTTTTTTTTAATTCAGCGTTTATACGGTTGTTCTGAAAATTTTCCCCCTCAAAGCTTTTGATGTGCAGGTAATCAGAAATAAAATCTTAATATCAATTTATTGAGAGGGGAGAAAATGATTTACTGTTTCAGTTTCTCCAACAGGTGATGTTCATTGTGGAATTTTATACACAGCAGTCAAGTCACAAATGTGAGAGAAAAGGGGAACTTAAACATTAAACAATGATGCTTTATTCAAAGGAAAAACAGACTATAACGCAGAGCCTGTTCCCATTTATAAATGTTAATGGCTTAATTCTTAAAATTAACATGCTTTGTAACCTATATGAGCCCCAAAGTTCAATTTTGTTTACAGTTTTGAAAATCAATCATTTAGGTAATTGTCAGTACCTGCTCATAACCAGATTTTTGTACAAAGTAAAAACTATTCGTGTGAACCATCTTCAAAGGTTTGTAATGTTGAGCTGCCTTGTATATTGCAATGTGAATTCAAAGTCTTTATGTTGCAATTTGACTTATTCAAGCCTTTACATTTCAGTTAAAATGCTTTGTGTGCAAATAAACCGGGATGTCAACTTTTTGTTTTTAAGATTGTGCAAAATCGGAGCTGAGATTCAGTTGTTGTATGTTTTACAGAGTACTTTAACGTGTAGATATCTTGTAAACTTGTACTGTGAATGTGTAAATAATTAAGTTCATTGCTTTTTTGTTGTTTTTTTAACACGGCATGTATAGCTGAAATAAAATATTACAGTGCAGAAGATTTAAGTAAGGTGACTAGCTCCATCAGTAAAATCTGTAATACTCACAAAATGAAATGCTTTCATTTGAATTCCCCAATACTAGTTCCCCTCACAGATGTTTCACAAGTTAACACATTTTAGAAAGTTGTAAAAAATGTCCCAATTCTTTTATTACCAAAAAAGGTGCATTGGATTACCAGAGATAAATTACTTTAGATTTAACAGTTACATGGGCATATATTGAAGTTTTACCAATTTAATTTCACTCTGCAATTCAAAAAAGAAATAGTCTCTTGAAATTTGCCATTTTTTAAAATAAAACGGCAGTTGGGTGCCTTTGGTTTGATAGCAATATTCTTAATCTGGTACTTTTCAGCCTAAAGAGAGAGAGAGAACTGTCACATTTGTCATCTAAAGCGCCCAATTTTTAAACCATCTGTGGACACCATACTTATTCTGGAAGCCCGGAACAATTCAAACACAGTACAGAAATTCCAATCCTCCTCAGGCATGACTGTAACCAGATTTTTCTTTAATTTAAAATTGAAACTCAGTGTTTTTTCAAAGTCCAACCCCAAAAACAGCTGTGCTTAGTTTTTCTTTAGCTACTAGGCTGTACTATCTGGATGCACCTCTCAGTAATACCGAGTCAGAACAGCTTCCTCATATCAGAAGAAACTGGCCTGTTGCCAGAGAGCCTTCTTTATCCACATAGAGTGCTTGACAAAGTTTTAAACAAATCTGTGCCACTACAGACAGGTCTCTTTACACTTATCAAGTTTCTCCAAGCTTTTATATTGTACAAATGTCTGAATTACCTATGCTTTTTCAACAGTTTTCAGTATTCCACTCTTTTCTTACTCAGATCTAAAAATATAAATGTACCGGTGCTGATTATGAGTTTAGTGTAGTTTCAGGTCCTAGTTAAAACTATGATACAAGAGTATACAATACAAGAGTAATCTGGGTTAAAAAAAAAACAGAATACTGTTGTAAATCCTCTGCTATGTTAAGTTGCAGCGTTTGCCTTATTGTTTCATGATCATAATGGAATAGAAGTGGTTATATCCATCGGTTTTGCTAATCCTTAGAAAAACAACACGCCTCTGCTTGTAGTAACTGCAGCAGAAGCATTCTCGCACACTCTTTGCTGAACAGCTTAAAATATTGTGCACTGTAACAATATAAAAAAATTAAACTATCTATAAATATCCTGTAATGTGTTATGAAAGTGGCATGATAACCATTAAAGGATTAATCACTCTTCTCTTTAGCTGAAAAGGAACTACTTCAGATACCTGTGAGAAAGCTTCCATAACTGTTCATAGCACTGAAGCGGAACATTTAAACATCTGGACTCTAGTAATGTATAGCCAGAGTCTGATAAGATCTGGTAAATGGGGCTAGCAAAAAAAAACTTTTCTCCAACATGAGACACTTGGAATTTACAGTAGTCGTCCAGCATACTGAAAAATAAATTTCCAAACCTCGTCAGCTTGTCTGCTCTGATTCACTGCATAGCTTTTGCCTTGTAGGCAGAGCATTGTTTAGGTCTGTCTCCTCCAAACCCATATATACAGATAGTGCTCCTTAGCCTAAGGTAAAATAATTTTTTATTTTTTCATTTGTGGCTACCTTCACTTAGCTCATTGCTAAGCGGAGCAATGAATATAATTTTTTCAGTTGTTCTCCAGTGAATTGAAGTGTTTAAAAATATGGTATTGTCATTTGGAAACATTCAGTACTTAGTGGGGAAAGTACAATCTTCACTACCAAGTTCACTACTGTGGCATTAAAACCAGTTAGTTTATAGGTCAGGTTAAGTCTTCAGCTTCCCAACAATTAGGAAAGGCTTAAACTTGTGCAGTTAGAAAATTAAAATTTCAATTAGATAATTAAAGGCTCAGGTAAAAGGAAAATTAGAAACATTGTCCCTCCAGGCACCCCTGCATTACAAAGTACAACATAACAGAATATTTATAAGATAAGAAATAGGGGAAACAAATGAGTGTATTAGTAAAATGCAGATTAAAATGGACTAGCATCACTGAGAATGCATCCATTCATACCACTTGGCTTCTCTAGTCCTGGAACTCTCACCTTTCCCCGAGACCATGGTTGTCATCACCACAGTGTCTGACAAGGCTACACATCCCTGTGTCCAGAGTTTGTAGATCTTGAGTTTTTGGAAACCAAACTATCACAACTCAAAAGAAATACATGAATGAGAGGTAACTCTGCTAATTACTCAAGGGTGGCCAAGAAGGCCACACTGTTCCCAGTTAAACACTTCTAATAAAATATGCATTATTCAGAGAGCTCACAAGCGTCGGAAGTACAAGCAGCCTAAACTGCATCCTTTATTAATGAAGACATATTTCCCTGTTGCCACTACATTCAAATTTCAGAATAAAAAAAACTGAAAATGGGATTCTTCTACTTGTACTAGTTTAAAGGTTTGCAAATCACTCCTGAAATGCATAGGAAAAGTTAACTCAAATAGGCATGAATAACTTCTCCTTAAAGCAGAAAACTCTGTGCCACAACCACTGTTGTATCAGGTTATATGTACAACCAGTGCAATACCAAAATTGCTTCTCCCTTTAAAATCCTCACTTCCGTGGGGACTACCAAAAGACTCGAATTATGACAACATGCTGCCTTTTACCTTTAATGAGTACTCTGCAGCACTGAATTATTTTTAGCAGAGGGCTTAGTAGGTACTCTCGGATATTCCCTCTGTTTCTCAAGTCTGCCATGGTTTACTCTAGCCCAATAATCATTCCAAGAAGCCCAATCCTTCTCTGCTATAATACCAACTGTAATCAATTTTCTACAAAATTAATTTCTGAACTAGCCATCTTTAGATAAGTTATTCAAAATGTGACAAACTATCTCCATTTGATACACGTTAAATTTCCATTCCAGGCAGAGCCCAGATACTTCTAAGCAAAATCTGGCTGTTATCATTCTGGTATCTGAATCATTGCTTAACTCTACTATAAAAGAGCTAGGTCAAAATGCTGACAAAAACACCTTGTGCAACTGAGCCCCACTATTAATATTTTTCTTCTCTTCAGCCCTCCACCCATTTTTAAAAAAGAAAAGAAAGTGTACCCACGATATCTTGGCAAGATAAAGGTAGTGAGGATAAAATTTTTCACACCGCTCTAAGAAATTTAGCACATCTGTTTTTCTGGGCTCTCCAGTCTAATTAATTTGGGGGCTTTGCAGCAGATGCACAGGAGGTCATTCCTTGAAAAGAGAGTTCTCTTTCTCAAAGTATCTTTGGTCTGCATCCTTACCACCAAAAAAAAAAAAAACAAACAAACTTGGAGTATAAGAATATTTAAGAGTCTACTTCACTTGAGCTTTACACATTTGAGACATCTGAAACATTCGGTTACTCTTTTTTTCGAACAGATAAATAGCAGGCTTTTTAGATCTTTCTTGACTTCAAAACTTTATATCTACACTTCTCAAAATCTTGCATTCATTGTATTGCAATCCTAAAATCATTCATAGCTGAATCATTTCGGGCATTTATCTGTTAAAAAGACTACTTATAGTTTCAAAAAGTTCAACTTTTTTTTCTTGTCAGTTAAAAGTCATCATTCGCAGTTACTAATAACCCACTCAATAAGCATGATATGTCTTCTACTGGTTCATGTTAAGTGTTCAACTGGCCAGAATTTGGACTAACCTCCTCACGAAGAACATTATCATACTGGTTATTGGTAGACATGTTAATAATTCCTTTGCTTGGATGATGATGCTGCATTTGTCCTTTCAAATACTCATAGAAATTCCATTCAAGACTTTCTCTGTCAGGGCCACCACACTGTAACAATCCATCCATACAAATGCCAAGTTTGGTGCTACATTAAAATAGGAAACAAGGGGAAGGGTCAGCAAACTCAGAAATATTTATAGGTTCAGTCTTCTGAAAAATCACATTTACAGAAACAATGAATAATAAGGCATTTCAACTAAGCACATAAATATTAAACATTTCTGCCTGAAGAAATACATGTATAAAAATGATTCAATCTACAGTCTATCAATAGGTGTCTCTGCCTTTTGGTTGCTGTGAAGTAATCTGAAGAAATCCTCTCCAAAGAAGTATTCGGAAGTTGGTAAAGTTTAAAGTTATATTCAACGGATATGATTCAAGCCCAAAACATTTTTATCCAGAAAATACATTGAACTTCTTTCAGTTGTAGCCTTTTACTTTGTTCATTGGAGTATTTATTAAATGTTACAAAAGGAATTAAATTTTAAAGGCAGAACTGAGTTAATAATAACGATACTAGTAAAAGAACATACTAGTGATCTGTTCTACACTTCTATAATACATTTCTACAAAGGCTCAGTAGTTACAAGATCTTTCAGACTGACTTATTTTAGGGCTTAATGCTTGGCTGAGCACTGTCTAGATGCTAGCTTTCTTGATTCTCTCAGGTGGTTTTCTCTGTTCACTTTATCAGATGATCTCTCAGATGAGCCGAGATTTTACCCTTAGAAAGCAGTTAACCTATTACTCTTACAACAAGTCAGCTGTTCCAGATTACAATATTGAACAGACACACCATATACTAGTCAACTAAGACAACCGACAGGACACAATTTTATTAATCTAAGATAACAGCTAGATGAATACAAGAGATTTACCATACAGTATATATATATGGTAATTGCTATATAATAAACCTACAGTGAATCATTTGTGAGAGTATTAATGGTATGTATAATTACAGATTCTAAATTATTAATAGAATTTGTAACACCTAAAATATTAACATATAGTATTACCATAATTCCAGTGTAGCTTTGTCTATTGCAGCAGTGTGATATAATATCTGTCTTGAGGAACACAGAAGACCTGAGTGCAGTTCAGATCAAAATTAAAATTCTACAAAATGAACCAATACAAAATAAATATCTACATATTGGTTATCTTTATGTGGGTATTTTAACTGAGGGGAATGGTAACTTCTTCTTCATGTACACAGAGAAATTTCTGTG